GCAACTGAGCAATATCCTGTCTCTAAATAAAATATTTAAAAAGGGCTGGGGATGTGGCTCAGTGGGTAAGTGCCCCTGAGTTCAATCTCCAGTACAAAAAAAAAAAAAAAAATTGGAGTCTCATGAAAGGGGTCAAAAAGAAGAATAAGAAGAAATTAAAAAAAAAAAAAACAACACAGGGAATAACAGGCAAACATAACAATCAGAGTTGTAAGGGGGAAATGCTGGTACCAGTCCTGAAAAAGGAGGCTAACCTTGGAAATATGCTGCAAAGTGTGGAATTACACCAGAGAGCCATTAAGCCTCATTCTGCAAGGGGAGCTTCAGAGATCCCTGATCAATTGTACCTCGGAGCTCCCCACAGAATCAAATGCAAGTATTCTCTGGAGGAAAGCAATTCTCAACATGCATCTTAGGGATTTCCACAAATGAAGTTCAATAAGATATGAGCTCACACTAAAAAAAAAAAAAATCAGCAACACATAAACACTTGAACTAGAATAAATAGAAACAACCAACAATAAATTTACATCTAGGAAGATGGAAGAATAAGAATTGAAATTGTCATATACAGATTATTATCTAATTTTTATGAAACATTTTTTAAAAAATGGAATAAAATAGAGTAAGAAATAAGGAAATTTTAAAATGACCAGAAAGACTAGTAAAAGACCCAAATAGACATTTTAGATTTAATTGATATAGATTAGATATAGGTAGATGTAGATATAGATGTAGATATAGATTTTGAAAATAACAATTCATTGTGGAAAAAAAAAAAAACAACCAGAATGAAAACAGCTAAAGATAGGATTAGTTACCTGGAAGTTATATCTGAGGAATGAAGAATGAAGAATGAAGCACAGAGACTACAGGAAATGGAAATATGAAAGACAGATTAAAAGACGTGGAAGGCAGGACAAAATTTAACATATGTTTAAGTAAAGTTCCAGAAGGAAAGAACAGAGAGAGTTGAAAACAGGCAATACTGAATTATATAATGGCCAAGAATTTTTCCTTAACTGATTAAAGATGAACCCACACATAAAGTACAGCATAGATCAAGCAGGACAAAGAGAAATCCACATCTGGTCATATTATAGTGAAACTGTACCAAAACTTAAGATGAAGACTTTAAATTTCCAGAGAAAAAAAATGTTGGGGCACCTTCAAAGAATAAGCAATAAACTATCTGGGGTGTATGTGTGTGTGTGTGTGTGTGTGTGTGTGTGTGTGTGTGTGTGTGTTGTTTTTTGGTACCAGGGATTGAACACAGGGGTGCTAAATCACTGAGCCAAATTCCCAGCCCTTCCCCTTTTTTTTTTAACATTTTGAAACAGGGGCTTGATAAGTTGTTGAGGCTGGCCTCAAACTTTCAATCCTCCTGCCTCAGCTTCCCAAGTCACTGGATTCAGGTTTATTTTGTTTTTTTTTTTAAAAAGGACACACAACAATTGTTTTCCAGTGCTCACAACAATCCTACATAGTAGTTCCTATCTTATTTCTACTTCACAATAAGGAAATTCTGGCTCAGAGGGAAAGTAGGTTCCTACAGATGCACAGCAGCAAGGACGTAGCATAGAAACACAATGGGAAACGCAGATCCTAAAACTGCTTCAGCCATAGGCCACCACGTGGATGAAATCTTAGAAACTCAATACTGAGTATAAAAAAAAGGAGGTGGCAGAAAACTATATACAGGATATGATTTTTATGAAACCTACAAACAAAACTAAATAATACATTGCTTAGAAATACATGCATACACGATTAAATGACTTTTAAAAAGGGAGAGTGAAACACAGTATGCAGGACTTGGGAGGAGGGACAGGAGAATGGAACAAGGAGAAGTACATTTGCAGAGACAGAGTTAATGTGCTACTTCTCAGAGTGGTGGCAGGTAACAGGTATTCATTTTAATATGTTTCAAATTGACACATGTCACCCATACTCTTTTGTGTGCATCAGATATTACACAAGAAAAAGAAAGAAATACATTGACAGAGGACTAATTTTAACTAGATTTTTTTACAATGTATATTTGAAAATCACTGACTAACCCTTATGATTTATGGTTAAGGGATTATAATCAGTCTCTAAAATTGAACTGCCAAATTTTCGAAGCAAATCTCAAAAAGGCTTTGCTACCTAAGTCAATGATGGAAGTCTTTCCTGGCTTAGGATGTTAAATTCTTGGTATTTTATATTCACTCCAAATAGAACCGTCTATTCACATGGTTCTAATGAGTGTGTTGTTCACATCTGGATCATCCTGGATGGGTATCTTCAACTTTGTTATTTAAGATGGAAAAAAAAATTCTACATTAAAAAATGTTCATGGGATAACTGTTAGAAAAACTAGCTTTGCTTTGTATTTGATGTCATGTGATTAAGTTGGTAACAAATTTTAAAAAAAAAGGTCTTTTTGTTTTGGCATGAGAATTATAGCATCAATTCACTTTCTCATATCCAAAAATTTTATGAGCCAATTAGCTCAATTTTAACATAAATAAATCCACCTGGGTTACTATTATACTAAGAGATTTACTGGATAAACTCTACATGGATGTATTTGTACTGGACTAAATTTACATATTAATCAAGTTCTAATTGCTTTTTTTCGTCAATTTTATGCAAATATATTTACTGCTATTTAAACATTTTTCAGAGTGTTTGGAAAGTGCCCAAACCAAAACCACTAATTAATAATTAGAAAGCAAAATCAGTGCTGGGTGACTCAGTGGTAGAGCACTTGCCTAGCATAGGTTCTGGGTTTGATTCTCAGTACTGAAAAAATGAATTTTAAAAAGCAAAATGAATTTTCACATTACATCTCAAGAGGAAGAATTCTATGATATGCTATTGTCTTATTTTTTCAACCTTTATAATAAATTCAGAATTAATATGCAATTTTAAAATTATTTATTCTACTCCATATTTCCCTCATACTTTCATAGTTTGTAGTTATCACAAAGACATCTTTGAGTTGGATGAGTTACCTGGCACCAACACTGAGTTTTGCTGGTGTGTCTAAATGGGTGTGTAGGCATTTTCAACACAATAATAGAGATCTGTATTATGAGTTCATAAATGCCATCTTCCCTCAAGAATTTCACTAAAAAATCTTAGTATCTTATATTCTCTTAAAACGAGAGCATGTTTACTAGACAGACTCTGCAAACCCTTCCCCAAAAATGAAGATTGCCTTGTTTTCATAGGGGTAAGCCAGTTTAGTGATTTATTAGGTTTACTGCCTTATGGGTTGGAAGAAATAATTTAAAATTTTTCTGTATAATTTTTCATACCTTTGGTTAGTTAAAGAATTTTAAATTAGAATTATAATTTCCTAGAAGAATAGGATTTTCTCATAGATTATTAAGATAAGCTCTCAAAAATGCATCCCTTTTGAATCTGTTTTTACTAATATGTCCAGCCTCCTGTATACTTTCTTTCTTTCTTTTTTTTTTT